ATTTGTAATCGATACACACCCACAGATCTTCTAATAATATTTTTTGTTTAAATTCCTAAATATTTTGTATTTTTTTCACTGTTTACTAGATTTTAAGTATACTGTATAGGAATAAGATCAGTATTTTGTAGATCTAGAAGTATTTAATGATTATCGTTATAATGATCGATAATAAAATTTTTGGGCTTTATATTCACTAGTGCATGGTACGTTCTTAGTTCAAAAAGCAAATTATATACTTATTTGAAAGTTTTACAGTATACTAACATATATTGCTTCTATATATATATAGATTATTAGAAATTTATTAAATATATTAACTTATAAAGATAAGTTATTTATTGTAATGTAATACTTTGAATTTATTATAACTATGAATAATAAAATATTTAATACTATATATTATGTCTTTGTTTCTTGATATAACTATAGGTTTTATCTTCATCAGATTTAGGGATTTTGCATTCGTCATATAAGAAGATATTTGATTTTTTTCTTAACTCAGCATCCACAATGGTTTCCAAATCAGCATCAGTTATTTGATTTTGATCTGTTTGGTTATAGCGATCCCAAACCCTTTGAATTGCACTAAACCAATCTTCAAATTTGGTATCAGTGATTTTTTTAGGCTCTCGTTCTTTTTGAGTAAATATAGCATGCGATATTGGTTCTGAATAAAACTTTTGGTATATAGCAAAAATATGCTTGCATGCTATCCTCAAGAACTTGAAATCGGGACAAGTATATTCAAAGTGTGCAGGTTTTATGTTATCAGTTTTTTGCATGTGGTCTTTTATATTAATCTTGTAATTACTATCATCTTTCGATGATTTTACAAGATAATGTCGATTTCCAGAAAGGGAATGGATATCTAAATCTGAACCAGCAAGTTCACACTGCCATTGTTCCTTTTGTCGATATTTCATTCTTCCAATCATTAAACAAATAGCTTCATGCTCAAATTCTGAGTCTTTTAAGGCAACTCGTAAAGTCCAAATCAAGAAATCGATTCTATGATTTTGTTTGGCCCCCAGGTGTATATATTTTAATTTTTTGTGCCATGATTCAATGAAGTTCATCGTGTTCATTTCTTGATGTTCATACTTCTATCCACTTTTCACAATTATCCAAATATTCTTTTCTTATGTATTCTACCCACTGAACCTCACCAAATGCTACCCATCGAGAAAAATATTCTTCTAATCTACCATAAGCCTAAAAGTAGAGATATTAAACCGTTCAAATTTTAATATTAGAGATTGGAACTTTGATAAAATCTTTATTCAGGTATTACTACAGGCTTTGATAACCAATTTTGTACACCCCTATTAAGAACAGACTCGCTTTTAAATGTTTTATTAATTGATTTTTATTACTTGAAGTGAGAATGTTATTAATAGGGAGGGGTGTATGAAATTGGTTATCAAACCTGTAAATTACTTGGGTCATCCAGGTAATTAATACAGTATATACAAATTTAGAGTAAAATTATATGGTAGTGAATTTTACTAAATTTAATATATTTAATTTTAAAATTTAATTACCTACTTGAGAAGTATCCTGAATGCGCATTATTGCATCAAGTTCATCCAATGCAGCTTTTTGGATAACTTGTTTTTTTGTCTGTTCCAAATTACCACTATTTATATTTGCTTTTTGAGGTTTAAAATTATTACAGGTTACTTTAATCTTACCTTTATTTTTTTGCTATGCATGCTTAACATGCCATTGGCAAAGTAATATTTTAACATCAGAATATATAGTATGAATAGCATTTTGTTGCGTTTCATCATAGTCGGTAATAAAAGTGTGGGGTCTCTATTCCCGATTCTGGTTTTTAAGTGCATTTAACCAGTATATTAATATTTCTCCAGTCTTTTTTTCAGATATTAGGTGTGCTACAGGTATACTTTATCTACCTTCATTATCATGAATAAGCAAAGTGAAGAGATATGTCTTATGAGATGTTGTTCCGTATATACCATCAATGCATACTGTTTCAGCACCTTTTGATTTTAACATATTTTGTTGAAACTCTGTTTGAAATCCATACATGAAATCTAAAGATAAATTCCAAACAAAGTTGCTACAGGTATGGGACCCATCTTCCTGAAATGAAGCGATCCATTCTTTAAGTGAAACTTCTTCACTATATCCCTCCCGTTCATTATCTAAAAATACTACTCCGTTCATTTCTTCCCAGACAATATTATACGCATCTATATAGGATAAGTATGTATCTCGTCTCTGTATAATAGATAAGGAATCTATTTCATTACCATAGTGGGACTGATTAATATGCTGATGAAACATCGTCACAATTTGAGAAGGCTTTAAACCATCATTTGCTCTTTCACGGACCCATTCCTTTGCTTGCTGTGATATGCGAAAGTGGCGTAAATTTTTATCAGAGCCAGGGACATGCCCATTATAGAGGTTGTAATAAAAGATTTGTACTAGATCTCCCCCTCATTTCGATATTTTGATATATATAAATAAGACTTACAACCCACTTTCTTGGACGGTTTTTGAGTAGGGTGAGGTGGATTACGGTTTGACAAAGGTTGGATCGCCTGTTCCATTGTTCTGGCTGTGGATCTGGGATTTTCAGAACAATAGCAAATATACCTTTCATTAAGCACATACTCATGATTTACTCTATTGTCTTTTTGAATATAGTTTGCCCCACAAATATTCAGAAGTATTTTTTTGATCCAATTTTTATATGTATTTAATG